TTTAAAAATTAAAGTTTTAGTAAAATTTACATGGTTTTAGTTAAAACAATATTTTCTTAAAGTTTAAGTGTTAAATCTATATTACGTGAAAACATGCCGAACTTCGAACACCAAAATTTACGGACCAGCTAAGCACATGATGTCTAGGCGCAGTTAGTTTTCAACCTTTTAAAATTTTAACAATTAAACTAATTTTTTTAAAATAATAGTGAAACTAACATGGTTTTAGTTAAAAAAATATTAATTATTTTCTTTAAATTTAACTTAGTGAAAATCATTATTAATTTTCAAAAATGAGTTTAAGTGTTAAATCTATATTACGTGAAAACATGCCGAACTTCGAACACCAAAGCTTACGAACCAACTAAGGACAGGATGCCTAGGCGCGGTTGGTTTTCGACGTTTTTAAGACTTAACACTTAAACTAATTTTAAAAAAGTAATAGTAAAATTAATATGGTTTAAGTTAAAAAATATTAATTATGTTCTTAAAGTTATGTGTTAAAGTTTTTAAAAATTTTAGTCAAAATCACTATTATTTTTTAAAAATGAGTTTAAGTGTTAAATCTATATTACGTGAAAACATTGCCGAACTTCGAACACCAAAGCTTACAGACCAAACAAGGACAGGATGCCTAGGCGCGGTTAGGTTTCGACGTTTTTAAAATTTAACACTTAAACTAGTTTTTAAAAAGTAATAGTGAAATTAACATGGTTTTTAGTTTAAAATATTATTTTCTTAAAGTTTAAGTTTTAATTTTTTTTTAAATTTTTTTAAGTCTTAAATAGTTTTGTTTAGTTAAATGTTTTAGTGAAAGTTTTAAACTAATTCCTTTTAGTTTTATTTAAAATAATTTATAAAGAAAAGATTAAAAAAAAGAAAAAAGAATGTAGAAAGTAATACCTTGGAAAAACTACAAAATCTACCACATTTTCCTAATTTTTTTCAAAATCTACCACATTCCTCTCCATCTTTCAACTCATACCACATTTTGTTGTAGATTGACAATTTTGCCCTCACAGTTGATGGCAGTTTTCACGACTTGACAACCTGCACTTTTTCCCTTCCCTATTAATCTCTCCTCTCTCGAAATCTGTGCGCTTTAACCCCAGATTATTATTCCCTTGAGAGAAAACGAAACGTTTTCGTCTCTCTCTCACTTTCCTTTTTCCTGTCTCTTTCTTCTTCAGATCTTGTCTCATAATAAACGCTTTCGTTTTTGTCTCCAGATCTTGTCCCCAACTGGAAATTCTCTGTTGCGTCTAGATCTTGTCCCCGATTTCATCATCTTTCATCATCTTGCTCTTATCATGAATCCCACATCTTGTCCACCAATTGTTCTCATTTAAAGATTTCAAATTTTATTTAGATTTTTCACCATCTATTTTGGTCCACAAATTAGTTAAGCATTATTGTCTTCACCTACCCGGATTATTGAATTTTTTTTCCTTCTATTTGCAAAATAACAAAAAAATCCAGTTGTCCCCGAGTAAATCCAGATCTCTGGCGGACACTTTCGTCTCTCTCTCACTTTCCCTTTCTCTTTCTTCTTCAGATCTTGTCTCATAATAAACGCTTTCGTTTTTGTCTCCAGATCTTGTCCCCGATTTTATCATCTTGCTCTATTATCATGAATCCCACATCTTGTCCACCAATTGTTCTTATTTAAGGGTTTCGAATTTTATTTAGATTTGTTCTCATTAGTTGAGCATTATTGTCTTCACCTACCCAGATTATTGAATTTTTTTTCTTCTATTGCAAAATAACAAAAAAATCCAGTTGTCCCCGAGTAAATCCAGATCTCTGGCGGACAAAACTACACCATCTGACGATGGACAGTCAAGAGAATTGGATGATAAACATCATCACGCTCAATTTTTGATCTAATTATATTACTCATTCGTTTTGACTTGTCCCCGATCTAATTCTATTACCCATTCTATCTGAACTTGTCTCCGATCTAATTATATTACTCATTCGATATGAACTTGTCCCCGATCTAATTCTATTACTCATTCGATATGAACTTGTCCCCGATCTAATTATATTACCCATTCGATCTGAACTTGTACTCATCTAATTATATCACCCATTCAATCTTGAGCGTGATCTAATTCTATTACTCATTCGATATGAACTTGTCTCCGATCTAATTCTATTACCCATTCGATCTGAACTTGTACTCATTCGAAATGAACTTGTCCCCTATCTAATTCTATTATTCATTCGATATGAACTTGTCCCCGATCTAATTCTATTACCCATTCGATCTGAACTTGTCCTCGAACTAATTATATCACCCATTCAATCTGAATTTGTCCATGATCTAATTATATCACCCATTCAATCTAAATTTGTCTCTGATATAATATATTATTTAAATAACCGTGGAGCATTTATTGCAGACCTGCTCCTTCTTTGGAAGCACCAAACGAAACTGTCTTGTCTCTGACACAGACTCTGTCCCAAGTCTGTCTCTGACACAGACTCTGTCCCAATCAGGGGTATTTTGGTCTATCATTCCACATGTGCTATTGAAATATGGTAGATTTTGAAAGCTTTTTGAGATTGTGGTAGATTTTGAATGCCACTTGTTGAAATGTGGTAGATTTTGTAATATTCCCTAATACCTTCACTCTCATCTCTGCCGTACTTGGATTGTTTAATTGGTTTTCACTCTCAAAAGTTGATCGTCTTCAGTCTTCTTTGTTCCTCATGTTATAGTCCTCTAATCAAAAACCTTCTTAGGTGCTCCTCGCTTTCCTTCTCCGCCGGTGAAATTTGGTTCTGAAATCATCTTCGATGGGCAGATGTGGGAGACGAAATTGAGATGATGGACTCGATTGAACTCACGTCTTACTTTAGTTTCAAGAAGAAAAAAGGAAATTCATCACCACAAAAAAGGAAATTCTTAATGTTGTTTCCTTTTTTCCGATGACTTTGGTTTTTTGATGTATAACGTTTAAAGAATTATCTTAAAAAAAAAAAAAAAAAAAAAAAAAAGAATTATCTTTTTTGCTCACAAAATTTATATATCAAAAAGGTAAGAGAGAACGAACATGAATGATGATGATCAACCTAATAAGGTGAAGAATTCCAACTCCATTCCTACGTTTATTCTAAATGGTCTCTTTGTATACAAAACAATGTATGCCCCTAACATGATGTTGTGGTGGTTGCTACAGGCAATCTTGGTTTGTGGAGCAGAAGCCAGATTCTGAGGACTTGACTGATACAACAACACACGTTGACATAATCAACCTACCAATGCTCTGCTCTCTGTGTCCAGAGTTAAGCACCCTGGTTCTGAGATCACAACAAGAAAGCAGGAGGACGACATAGTCCCTTTACAAGCAACAACAAAGCCTTGAGCTCGAGTACCTTAAACTGCTATTGTTACCTTAAACTGCTATTGTTACCTAACATGATGTTGTGGTGGTTACTTGTTATTGACTAAATCATATTTAGATGATTTCTGTTCAACTTTTAAATGTGTATGTCTGCATTTTGCACTCTTTATCTGCAGAGATAGTCAAAAGTTTCCCAATTGTTGTTATGTTTGGAGTTATTAAATGGACTTGGCAATTCTAAGACCATTTAGCCAATATTGGCAAACTGTGTAACCGGAAATGGAGAACGAAGAACAAAATTGAAATTGGCATTTAAGAGATATACATTTTAAATGACTATCATCAATGTACATGAAATGTTGTTGTTATGTATTGGCCTGTGTTTACTCTTCCTGTGTTTAATTCTCTTTAGATGCTACTTCAGCAACAACAAAGCTTGAGCTCCAGTCCCTTCAGCTGCTGCTTTGAACCACCAATATTAAGCAAGATGATCTGTTGTTTTTCTGGTACAAGTCGTGTAAACCGCATTGTTCAGTAAGCTGTGAGATCGGCCATAGAAGAGATAGATCATGCTTCCAATAAGTAGCCATATCAAGACCCTGATCCATGTCCCAGCTCTGCCATTACAAATTACCAGCTAGGGTTTAGAAACATCCCAATATACTGGTATCATACATGGGTCCATCAGACTAACTCACCCAATGTTGATGATCAAGTAGGTGTTGATCAATATGCAAAGAACTGGAAGGTATGGGACGAATGGGCAGAGAAACCCTGAAATAGAATCATATATAGAATGCCAGTTAGGAAACGCTGCTCAAGTATAAATCCAAGTTTATGGTTTTTGCCAAAACCTCAAAATTTCCGTCCTAACCAGATGATAACCAACTCAGCAAATGAATAGAAACTCTTATGTAAGCAGCGTTTTTAAAGAAAGTGAGACCAACCAATTGATGGCTTGCAGAATTTTATATTCAATTAAGTTTTTTCATTTTTGTGCTGTATGAATAGGCAAAAAAAGGCTTAAATAAGCTTCAGGCCTTACCTCCTCTGTGTCCAAAGTTGTGCCTTTCTTCATCCTCGTTGATGTAGCCAAGAGTAATCAAACTGCCAAGCAAGATGACGGCACTGACACCACATATAGTGAACCGAGGAAAACTGCCACAAACAAGAAATAACCCATTAGAGTTTGACATGATGATCTTGATAGGTGAAAGAGGAGATTCTCCTCCCCTTGCCTTTAAATTAAGTGTTCAAACTCACAAACAAATCACCAACTCTTCTTTCTACCTGAAAATCCAACTATCAAAATAAGATTCCACATAGTTTCAATAAGAGCAGTAAAATACATGTTTTAGAGTGTAATCCCCTAATAAGGTATGATATAAGTGACCGAGAGCACTGAAGGAGAGCATTTGCATAACAAGAACAAAAGTAATAATAAGTGACAAACACAAATACATTAGCACAATAGATCATCATGTCAAAAGCAAGAAACGTTGAAGATAAATACGTACCTCTTCCCTAAGTTCACAAGGCCAAAAGGCTGTAATTCTACTATCACAATAAAATTTCACAAACAACAACTCATAAGAGAAGCTCATCTGCACAAGATTACAGAAACATGGATAATGGCAGTAGATATATAATCATGGTTTAAAAAGTGAAAACTTGCAATCATATAATCATGGTTTCACATGAATGTGATAATGGCAGTAGACAAAATCTTCCAAGTGGTTTTTGTGGATGGATCCTCATCAACAATTTATATTTTTTTTTTGGTCACATGAATGGATTTCAAAATAACCCAAAACCTCCAATAGAATCAATTGTATCTTAAAAAAAACAACAACTTTCATCACATTGAGAGAAGAAGACGAAAAAATAAATAATAACATAAGAGAGGAGCTAGCAACATGTATACTATTTCACTTTTTTTAGAGTTTTTCAGCCAATCAGAAGACTCTATTTCGAAACCACTCGCACCAAGTGCGCGTTGCGCGAGTGAGAGCAATTCCTGAAGGGGTACACCTTTAGAAATCATGCCTATTTGAATCAACGCACTTGTCTCCAAAATTTCCATCGCGTGAATATTATTTTGTTTTCTTCTCTTAACCAGTGTAAACCGAATCCTAATTTCACTACCACATAAACCTAACCGAATAATCAATTGTAACCGTGACTTATGTTTTTTTATTGATTTGTTATAAAAAAAAAAAAAAAAGAAAGAAAAAAGACAGCGTCTTTACTTTGTTATCGCCATTATTAGGTGACGAAAGCAAATCATTCTAAGAAATTAGGGAATTCGAGATTGATCTTTTTTTTTATTTTGCAGAACTTAGCCGGAGAAAACTTGACAGTGGCAAAGAGTTTTTGTCAGTGGTGAGTTAATAATGGAACGAATTGAAAAAGAGAGGAGAGACAAACCCGATTCCACGAGTCCCACCGAGCTGTTTTGTTTTTCCGGCGAGAGACAATCTTTTGTCAGTTTCCATTGGAATCTCTCACTGTTCTCTTTTTGTGAACGAACTAGTTTGGGCTCAACTCCGGTTGAGATATTCCTACTGGGCCTCAACTCACAGCCCATTGTGTTCATTGTAGGCAAAGTCGCAAACACAAAGACGTAAATTCGGCTTTGGGGTTGGTCTAAATGGATGACTGAGTTTGTGAAATTTTTTTGAAGTCGTTGCTAATTTCATGCTTTACTAAAAACCGGAAATTTAACATTTTATTTTAAGGTTTAGCAAAATGATTAATTTCTGTTTTTGGTTTAAAGAACGATTTTCAACGGGTTAGACAATTATTATTATATAAAACAATTCCAACATACATATTACGATGCAAACACAGTATTTTAGAGCTACCCATAAAATTGCTTACACAAACAATAGCTGTTAGTTTTCACAGATTTATAACTCCAAACCCCACAATTACAATAACCATGAGACACTTAACCAGATTCCGGTTTACACTAGAATAATATCCCCATTGGTCGTCTGGCTCGGTCCGGTAGAGTTCCCCAGGCACACCGGTCACATACATGTATTTAGGCGGAGGTGGAGATGAAGATGACCTACTGCAGTAAGTCTTTCTTGGTGGCGGTGGCGGCAACGGAGTTGTAATTCCGGTATGTTCTAGGGAAGAATCGGAATTGGCTTGATTAGTGAGATAGTGTAACACGAGGAACATGGAGAAAAACACTATAACCAGAGGTTTAAGTTTCATCATGATCATGATTTATGATTAATGGGAAATGTCTTTTGATTTCAAGACTTGGAAAATAACACTTATAATGCATATATATAAACAACGACATGAATGTGCATGTAAAGTATATGCAGTGTCATATCCCTACATCACCTATATGCATTTGGTAGAGACCAGATCATACACATTACAATGCAAATGGTAAGGTTCTTCTTTTGAATAAGTCTTCAATTGATAAGGTCAAATGTTTTGGTTACCATTAGTGATGGACTGGCCTGGTTGATTTTGAATCCGGCCTGTTTTAGGCCCATCTCGTTTCTGGTGAAGAACCTAAAAAAAGAGTTTTAATTTGTTTTGAAGATTTTCGGGAGCAACACGTATACACCTTAAACCACATGTGTACTCTCTCGAACACAACACGTGTTAAAGTGAAAGATAAGAATAAATATGGACCGACCCTACGTCTTTAAGATCAAAAAAACAAGAAGAAGAATTTAAAAAGAGGGTGAAATGATTCGCTTGAGTCTCTATATAAACATCACAATCCAACTCTCCATAATCTTCCACTTCTTGTGCTACTCATATTCCATACATCATATCCCTATAACATCAACAAACATTTCATCGGTTTGATCAGTTTTTTTAACCAACGATGATTCCGATATGCGTGCAATGCGGAACAGGCGGAAACCCATGTAGATGCAAAGTGGTAGGACCGACGTTAGGGCTTGTGGCATTTGTAGCAGCCGGAATAGTGGAATGGCCAGCATTGGTTTATATCTTTAAACACGCAAAGGGTCGCCGCATTATGGGTCATCCAGCCACCCATGTTTATCCCAAAGTCTCTCGTTCCATTCCCATATGATTATGATGAATTCATGACCTCACTTTATGACTTTTGAGTAATTTGCTATATGTTTCTAAGTTATATTGTATCTTATCTCATCTTTCTTTCTTTTGTGTTTTCCTCTACGAACATGCTTTGATTACTCAAGTAATGTACGTGAAAAAGTTAATAAATCTCGGCTTTCAATTTTAAAAAGTCGTTATCAAAGGTCCTTCCTTTTTCGTAATCGAGACAAAAAGATTAAACTTTAACTGAAATAATTGGTCTAGTTTAAGCGTAACAAATTTAAAATTCCTTTAGAAGTAAGAAAATAACTCCAAAATTATATACTAATTTGCAATCACTTCCACGATTGTAATCTAGGTAAATGGGCATTCGCGTGGTTGTTTCGTTCAATAATAGTGTTGTTGTATGTAATACACGCTTCTCAGATGAGAGAGCTAACTGTTTATATAAAAACATTTTCATGCTTCTTTCAAGTCTTTAGTTGGTGGTAAAAGAAAAAGATGTGAAATTTTTCTCAAAGCTCATCTACCAAACTTTAGCAACATACATGTAGACAAAAAAAGTTTCGGTGATGGATCCTAAAACCATTTGTAACTTGTAAACCCTGTTAGACAGCAAGACCGATCTAGTATCGGTTGTGACGCCTGCAAAGAGAATTTTGACATAACCATTTGTAAGAGAGATAAAGAGTTATCAAGGATAAAAAAACCCAACCACGACTCTGGTTTTATACCTGTGGCGATCATAGTCCCTAGGTCTGTCTCTGGACCTGGACCGTGAGCGTGACCTACGTCTGCTTCTTGAGTTTGACCGATCATAGTCCTTGTCTTGTTCACGATCACGGTCATGGTGCCTATCTCGATCTCTACTCCTGCGATCATAATCTCTTCGACGTTCATGACTAGATCCTCGCTCTTTCTCTCGGTCTTTACTTGATTCCCTCTCCTTACTGTTCCGTTCCTTAGATCTAAGTAAGTTTTCACTATGAAGTCAGTTTCAAAGATCCAAAACCGTAAAAATACAAAGAAAATAAAAGCTAGAACTAAAACCTAACCTTTCATTGCGTAAATTGGCCTTCTCATCCTGAAGCAAACGAAGAGAAATATAAGAACAGACAGTTTTCATCCATCATCACAAAAAGTAGATTATGTTATTAGATTACCAGAAGCTCAGTTAATTTGTCCCGGACTAGCATGTATCCTAAATGAAGCTTCCCACCAAAATGATCAGCTAAACGGCGCTCACTATAGCATCACAAAAGATCCAATTAGCATAGCCAAAATGCTAAATCATTTGACGATAGCATATTAAAACAGCACAAGGTTAAAACTCCATTAGTTATCTCTACTAGTATGATCCTTCAAGCACAAT